TTGTACCAGATCGACGCTAAGACCACATTATTAATTATCAGTGCTCTCCCAAAGATTGAGGTGTGCTTATTTTTCCAATCCCTCATTTTTTCCAGTGCCGGAGAAGAGATCCATAAATCATTAGAGTTCGGCTTACCTTGTGATGCTAGAATTATCCCTAACACCCTTATGGGTGCTTCTAACGGGACCCATTTAATATTAGGGAGCTCTGGAGGTCTCACTCCTTGTGAATGGATCCACCATCCTAATGTTTTGTTTCCCCAATTAACCAACATATCTGATAAGGCCGAAAATCTATCCATTATTGCTTTAATTTCCTCGAAATTAGTTTTGGAGGCCTCCATCATGATTGTCAAATCGTCCGCAAACATGGAATAGATTGGGATTGTCTCCTTAGGAAGGTTAGCTATCTTCAACCTTTGAATATTAAGGTTTTCTCTCAAGTTTACTCCTAATGCTTCCATGATGATAACAAAGAGGAAGGGGGCTAAGGGATCTCCCTGTCTAACCGATCTCTGAAGAGGGATTTCTGGTGACAGTAAACCATTCACTTGTACCCTGGTAGTGGCATTTTAGTGCAAAATTCGAATCCATCTCCTCATTTTAGGTCCAAAATCTAACTTAGTTAGACATGCTTTCAGAAAACGCCAATCAACATGATCGTAAGCTTTTTCGAAATCTATAAATACAAAGGCCGCATTGCTCTGATTTTGTCTCAATAACTTAATTGTTTAATTAATCAGGAGCACATTATCTTGTATATTTCTCCCCTGAATAAACCCTGTTTGAAAAGGATGAATGATGTCGGTCATTACCGGAATGAATCTGTTAGCTATTGCCTTAGCTAGCATTTTATATACCACAATTAATAAAGTGATTGGTCTATAATTCCTTATATTTGTCTTATCTCCTTTTTTGTATAAAAAGGTTATAATTCCTTGACCCACAATCTCTCCCATACATCTTGACTCCTGAACCTGTTTGTAAAATTCCATGAGATCCTCTGCCAAATTTGCCCACATTACCTCCCATAATTTCTTAGGCAGACCATCTATCCCTGGAGTTTTATCCTCATCCATTTGCAGTAGAGCAGTCCATATTTCTTTTTTAGTGATTGGGGCTTCCAATTTTTCTTTTTGTTATGGAGTTAATTTCTGTGTAAGAGGTTCGAGGAAGTCCCTTGTTTCTTGGTCTGGTATGGTTGGATCAATCGTAGATGTATAGAGTTTTTTGAAAAAATCATAAGCCACTTTTAGACCACCAGCCGAAGAGATTGGTTCAAGGTGTGGAGATAATCTAGGATCAATCAGAGCTTCTATGTTTGTTCTTTTAACCCTTGCTCTAGCAAGGGTAAAAAAAGAGGAGTCCATTTGGCCTTCTGACTGGTGTCTGGATAATTTACTCCTGATGAGGTAACCTTGCCACCTATTTTGGGCTAGGGTGAAGAGTTTATTCCTGAGTTCTAGTATGTCCTCTGATGATTGAATAGTTTCCGAATGATCTTGTTGTTCGTATTTAAGTATTTTCTCCTGAATTTCCATTTCTTGTTCGTGTTTTTTTTTAGCAACTTGTTTGGAAAATTCATTGCATTTTTTTGCTAAAAAACATAATCCACAGTTGAACAAGATGTTACCGAAAGTTCATACGAAACTTTACGATAATCGCTGCACGTTTGCGTAGGCTACTGAGGAAAGAGACAGTCTGGAAATAGGATAAAGACTGTACCTCCACCTTTAAACCACTAGTACCTTTGCCGCATGGGAAAATAGCAGGCCTCGGGTGGGCCTCCGACCTTTTCGGAGGCCGAAATGAAACGACGGTCGTCGATCAGAGTTTTCAATGGCAGCCGTCGTCGGGCCCGACCTTCGAAATTTTAGGAGTTTGGGAAAACGTCAATTTTTCCCGATTTTCCCCACACTGGCGGAGGTACTAGTGGTTTAAGAAGCTAAATAAGTGTTTGATTGAGTATCATGTTCTAAGAATAGCTGATCCATCTTTGCCTTTCATAGTTACGACATACGCAAGCAAATACGGGATTGGTGCAGTACTCCACCAGAATGATGGTGAGGGGTACAAACCCGTAGAGTTTATGACATGTAGACTTCCCAATGAGAAGATCGCGGCCTAGATGTATGAGAGATAGTTATTTGCTCTGAGACAGACCATGAATCATTGGCGACACTACCTCCTAGGACGTCATTTCAAAGTCTACTCTGACCCCGAGACACTTCGCTGGTTAAAAACCCAGGCTCGAATGTCGCCTAAGTTTACTAGCTAGGGTGGGGAGATCGATCAATTTGATTTCTAGCTTAAGCCAGCTAAGGGTAAGTATACTGTCGATTCTGATGCCCTAGGAGACGTGCAGATTATTGGTGCTATAGTGACATATCTTGGTGCTGGCGCTGAACTGCAGGAGCAGATTAGGACCACCTATGCTGACGATCCGATTTTTAGTACATAAAAATTGACAAGGTGCAGAAGGCACCGCATGAAGTCCCAGACTATAGGGTAACTGAAGGGTTATTGTTTGAAAAGACAAATGCGCACGACCGTTTGTGTATACCGCGTAATGAGGAAGTCCGCAATTTGATATTTGGAGAATGTCATAATACCGAGGGACATTTCGGTTGGCGGAAGACTTATGCTAACCTCCTTCGTTACTATACCTGGGTAGGTATGAAACATGACTGCATAGCCTATGTCCAAGGTTGCAAAGTGTGTCAGAGAAACATGAGTTCCACACAACCTCCCCTAGGACTTCTAAGACCACTACCTACACCATCGGGTCCCCAAGACTCCTTGTCAATAGACTTTATGGACACTAAGGTTAGAAGTAGGAATGAGAAGAGTCAAGTGATGGTTCGCAATTTTTGCTCCTCTTGGTAATTAGAGAATCTCTCAACCACTGGGTGAAGGACTATGGACATCCTTTAACTATCGCGAGTGATAGAAATGCACGGTTCACTAGTCAGCACTGACAACAACCGATGAGTGTGCACGGGTCTAAGCTGACTAAGACCGAGCAGATATACAAAGCACTTCGGCAAGTGCTGCGTATGTACATCAGGCCCGATCAGATTGACTGGGATGAGCATCTTCCCAAGGTGGCTAGCGCCTAAAATAACTCTGTGCACCTGGCTACTGCCAGGACTCCTAACGAACTGCATAGGGGATGGAGTCCTAGGCGTCCTATTGGCTGTTTGAGCCCAGATCAGATCCAAAGATTACCGCCCGACACGAGGCTATTTGCTGCACAATATGAGAAAGACTTAGAACAAGTGAGAGAAAATATAAGGAGAGCTCAACATCAGATGGTTGAGCAAGCGAATAAGCATCCCATACCGTCACAATTTGCTGTAGGGGACTTAGTCTGGGTTAAGTCCAAAGAATTTCTCCCGGAGGAGAATACATCGCCGAAATTGCTACCTGCGTATAGGGGGCCATGGCAGGTTTTAGATGTAATTGGTGACGTGGATGGACCCTCCTATGTTGTAGAGATTCCACCTCATCTCCATAACCTGTGTTTCATGCTTAGTCCCATCCATTATACCAAAGAGTCGTCAAGAAACCTTAGCTCTTCCGTGGATTCTTGAAGGCGCCTTGTGGAGACGACGTTTGACAAAAAAAAACACAAGTCCAAGTTGCTTCCCTACCAAAGAGTCGTCAAGAAACCTTAGCTCTTCGGTGGATTCTTGAAGGCGCCTTGTGGAGACGACGTTTGACAAAAAAAAAACACAAGTCCAAGTTGCTTCCCTGTGTCAGCAATCATCTGTTTCCATCTAGAAGATCTATAATTCCTCCTGCTATGGATGGTAGATATGATGCAGACAGGATAGTAGCAGCAGATTGTCTACAGGTCGGGATGCAGACGGAGACCCCCGTGGCAATATAAAGTACGCTTTGCTTATGAAGAACCTATGGAGGATCGCCGGTTCACAAGGGATGAGTTGATAGAAACAGCCCCGCACATTGTTTCTTATTATGAGAGAGCTCGTAGAGGTGTCAACATAGTTGATCGCTGGCCTCGAAATTAGGTCGGCGAGAGTGAAAGGCCTTTTCACGTCGGAGATCCCAAAATCGAACGTCCCCAAGTCTGAATAGGCCCAGATGGTCGAAACTGAAAGATAGTCACGTTGGGTATCCAAAAGGCAGAGGTTAAACTGAAAAGGTGCCCGATGACCAGTCAGGTCCCAAAGTCCGAAAATGCAGCAGCACTCCAAAGAAAAGTCTGGAAGGTACTGGCCCAATATTCCAAAGCAAACAGCCGAGGAGACCAATACCAGCAAGTCCAGTGCAGACCCAAGTCAAGCAGAGGCCAGCACAACCGAGGCCCAGTCCAAGTCAATAAGAAGACTGGCCTGCCTCATTTCGGACAGAATGCACATTCGTGTGAATTATTGCGAGTTGACCAAGCGCTAGGAGCCCTGCGGGGCAGCGCTATGCTGAAGAGGACAGGCGGCCATAGCCGCCGCATGGTAGAGGTAGTAGTAGAGTAAGAGTAGGAGGCTTGTGCATCCGGAGATGGGATCCTCATAATCGCAGGGGACAATAAAGATCCAGAGAGAGAGAGAGAGAGAGAGAGAGAGAGAGAGAGAGAGAGAGAGAGAGAGAGAGAGAGAGAGAGAGAGAGAGAGAGAGAGAGATTGGGGAGGGGAGTTACATACCTGGTTGGTGCTGCTGGTTGAAGCGCCAAGGAGCACTGGACACATGAACTCTGGCTTGTAATATAAGATCATTCACTGGAGACTATGAGCTGCGCTAATCCACCTTCCAGAGACTTCTGTGTGAATGTCTTGTGAAATTTTGTGGTGCTTATGCACGGTGGAGACAATATAAGCAGTTCGTTGCATTTGTCCTTAAGTCTTGAGCCAAATATTCTCTCTTCCTCGCGCCCCCCCTTCCCCCCCCCCCCCCCGATCCAAGGCCACCCAGCCACTCTTTTCTTTCCCCTTTTTTTTTCATGGTTTCTCCCCCCTTATGCAAAGGAAGGGGGCGATTGGTTGAATAGTCGAATTTTGTTGAAGTTGTTCCATGGATTTCCATTGTTTCCACCCAAAATTAAAAAAGTTTTGGCATGTGCGAAAATGAACGAAAGTCCAAGCATTTTGCAAGTAGATGCGCCTTCCTTCTACTTCCCCCACCCCCATCGAGTAAGAGCGCTGTCTAAGGCGAACACTCCCCCACACACCACACACACTCTTTCTCACACCCAACATACTCCCTGACCACCATCGATTAGGGTGCGGGGGAACATGCATCCCCTTGATCGTGAGATGCAGGTATGCTCGCAGGGGTCCCCTGTAAGGGCTTAGGAGTAGTGCTAGGTACGTAGTGGAAAGGTGACTTTCCGAGAAGTATATAACTTAGTTTATAAAATAAAAAAGGGGAAAAGACAGAAAAAAAAAGAAACATCAAGCTGCAATCCTGCAATGGCGCCCCCCCCTCCTTCTTCCCAAGAAAAAGAAGAAGGAAAAAAAGAGTGTAACAAGTAAAAACACTGAAAAAGCGTGTCAGAATAAGCACTCCTTTTTCGGGCCACTCATTTTTTGGAAATCAATTTAGTTCCGGGGTATAACTGCAAAACAGGTGCTTTGGATGTGATTTCTATGGAAGATCCAATCTGCAATTCTCTTGACAGATGTGACCCGTCCGCAAAAATCCTCCCTTGTCTAGAACCCCATTTGACTTTCATGACTTCATCATCTAAGATAAGACCATGAAGATAGTTTTTGTGTCGAGGGTGGGGTTGGAGGGGTTCGCGAAGCATATACTGAAGATTCTTCGAGAGGAAAGGCATTCGAAACCCCCCTGCGGACCGGGTCGCCGCTGTTGATCCCACAGCTGTGCATACACGAAGACCGCTCGATCTGCTGTGGATTGACGGACTCACTAAAACTCCATCTTCTCCTTCTTTCAGTCCTTTGACCTTCTGGATGCTGCAGAACACACCGCACCCAGCGACACCAGCACCACAAAACCCCAGAGGTAGGTAAGACAAACGTACAGAAGTTACAAAAAACCTCAATGACATGTGAAACTTATCATACACTCTCCTATCATAGATACACTTCTAATCATTCTTTGTAAATTGTCTCTTCATCAGTGCAAAAGAAAAAAAAAGGTTCTTTCTAAATCTGTCCCTCCGCCTTCTGGGTGCTGCAGAACACACCGCCGCAGTGACACCAGCAGCTCATAACCCCGGCGATTGGTAAAAGTTACTAAAAACAGATATACATAAGTCACGAAGTACTTCTATGAAATGGGAAGCTCACCATACACTTTCCAATCATACATACACCTTTCAGTTTTTAAGTTTTAATCATTGTGCAAGGAAAATGAGCAATAGCGAAATGAAAGAATTCCAGATTGCAAAATCACAATGAAAGCCAGATAGTCGAAAGCTGTCCAGAAAGCAGAAATGCACTGATATCACACCAAAGGAGGACCAAAACAGCGATCTCAATTGTCAATGAAAGCATACTGTCGCCACCACCAACAATGTCTTTGAAGCTCTACCTCCTACTTAGCGCTCAGTGCCCAGACTACTATCACACAGTTACTATGCTAGCCTATCCTAATGACGAAGCAACCAGTTGACGTCAGCAGCAGCAACCCAAGTACACGCCGATGTTGACTTCCGCCAAGACCAGGTACATACTCTCACATCATATCCCTCATCTCTCTCTCCCTTGCTCACCCTCGTCTTCTTCTCCCACGTCTCCACTTCTACCTGAAGACCACCACCTTACCCGGCTGACCTCCAAGCCTAGCCTGGCTATGAGGGCTGGCTATGGCGCTGCCTCTCTGCAGCGCATTTCTCCTCCAGATGCCCGCGTTCGCCCAACTTCAAGCACCTCCGCTAGCGCACAGCCAGCAGCCGTGAGCGCTCTCCAGCAGCGCTGCCGAACGCACTACCAAGTGCCTGAATGCCCTGCCCGCCGCCTTCCCCTTTCCTAAATGGAAAGCGGGCAGGCTCACTTCCTGTCTGGCCTGGGGCGCACATGTTTCCCGTAGCTTCCGATTGGGCCAAAGTGTCTACGCCCAGGCCCATTCAGACAGTGGCCTGGGACCGAATTGATTGAGCATGTCCAACCACCCAGGCACAATCGTGCGGTATCGTGCGGTGTTACCTCGGTTTCCTGCCTTCACTCAGGGCGGGCACGTGCTTGCTGCAGGGGCCTTGTGCAGGTATGCCAAGAGGTAAAATCCTCGCACTCCCTCCTCCTTTACTTCGATAGTCCTCTGAGAAGTCATCCATCTGCAAACTGCTTCCCTTTCATTCTTCTTTCATATCCTGAAATAACTTGTGGTGCAGTCTTCATCAACTCTTCTCTTGTGAACCACCGATCTTCCTTCAGATCAACATGATCTCTGAACCGCACTCCATACTGCATCTGCGGGTTTAGAGGGTGTCCCCTGCCTGGAGGTTTGGGCACAGGCATCAGCTTGTGTTCAACAATGTCATCAATGTCCACGTGTCCGTCCATGGTTGGGGGCATCTTCGTGAAGGAAACTTGTCAATTTCAGCAAAAGGAGCCAGTGAAGAAACGGAAACCTTTTTAATCCTAGCTTATTCAGGAATAAAAATTCTGGTCGGCGATCACGCCAGTTTTCACAATCATCAAAAGGAAAAAGAGATCACGCGCACCTTCAGTCTGCGCGCCCACTCACTCCCTACTCTAGTCAACCATCCTATCAACGTAAACCACAGACTCCGCCGCGCCTCGCACGGTATACTTAAACTATAAATCAAACTGATTTTCTGTTGCTTGCAAAAAAACAGGGCGGATACCCTTGTAAGGGTATTCACACCGACAACGTAGCTACATTAGCCGACGAGGACTGCAGAAGATGCATCTTGGCATGAAGGTGAAGAAGTTGGATGAGCGGGTTGTGAGTAGTCTGGCCGACAATTGCGAAATGAGAGTTCAAGGCTATGTCAAGGGGGTGAAGCCATGCTTCCGGTTGGCGAGGGGGAGTAAGGTAGAGAAAGTTTTGCACTCGCTGACCCTTTTAGTGGAGGACAGCCTCCCGTTTGACTTAATTTTAGGGACGGATTGGGGGAACGCCGCGTAAGCCGGGGTAAAGATGGGCGAGCACGAGTGTTGGTTGCCCAGCCCCGAAGGTGGCAAGAAGAAGATGCGGCTATTCTACGAGTCCGATGTAGAGTCCAGTTTGTCTGTTTGCTGCATGAGTGCCCCCACGTTCGCTAGGCACTTGGCCAAGAGCGACCTGATTGACCAAGTATTTGTAGTCTACGTTCGCTAGGCACTTGGTCAAGAGCGACCTAATTGACCAAGTATTTGTAGCCTATAATAAACTGGTCAATGAGAGCAAGGAGGAGGGGGAGGAGATACCCCCCCCCAAGTGCAGAAAATGTTAGAAGAGTTCGCTGATTTAGGAAAGGCCCCGACTGGCGTAGCAGAAAGGGAAATTAAGCACCGGATTGACATAGAGCCCAATCGCAAAACTCCCAAGGGCCCCATCTACCGAATGTCTCCCTAGGAACTCGATGAGTTGTGCAAGCAGCTAGATGAGTTGATAGAGAAGAGGTGGATTAAGCCAGCATCTGCGTTTGATTATAGACAAGCTGCATACAACTAAGTTCAAACTGAACCCAAGGAAGCACCAAGTTTTGTACCCAGGGCACATGTTAGATGGAGATGGAGTCCGACCGAAAGACGCGAAGATAGCAGGAGTTAGAGACTGGCCAACACTACACACGTTGACAGAACTGCGGTCTTTTTTGGGATTGGCCAACTACTACCGAAAGTTCGTACAAAACTTTATCATGATCGCAGCACCGCTACGTAGACCGTTGAGGAAGGGACAAAGACTGTACCTCAACCTTCAAGAAGTTGAAGAAATTGCTGATCGAGTATCCGAGACCCATCACTCCCATTCATCGTCACGATCGATGCAAGCCAATATGGAATTGGCGTTGTACACCAACAGAACGATGGAGAGGGATATAGGCCCATAGAGTTCATGTCTTGTAGACTGCCTAGTAAGAAGGTCGCCGCCTCGACATTTGAGCGTGAGTTGTTTGCACTTAGGGAGGCACTAAGTCACTGACGACACTACCTCCTAGGAAGACATTTTAAGGCCCATTCAGATCATAAGACCCTGCGATGGCTGAAAAACCAGGCCTGGATGACACCTAAGTTGGTCTGGGGAGATTGATCAGTTCGACTTAGAGACGAAACCGATCAAGGGTCAATGTCGTCGCTGATGCGCTGAGTAGACGAGCAAATGTTTTCAGTGCTATAGTGACTTATCTCGACACTTGCACCGAACTGCAGCAGAAGATTTGAGCTCCGTACAATGATGATCCCGTCTACAGTGAGATGATTAAGAAGGTGCACACTGCACCTCACGAGGTCCCGGACTATGAGATGACCGATAGGCTATTGTTTGAAAAGACTGATAAATTTGAAAGGTTGTGCGTTCCTAATAAGGAAGAAGTCCGAAGTCCGCACTCCAAAGTCCACTCGCCGATCTGAGACTGCAGATACAGATCCAGCGGAACCGTCCCTACCCCAACGACGAACTTGACCGGTACCCATCACGATCCCCTGCACTTCCCCAAGCCGATTCCATTCAATCTCTCACACTTCCCCAACTAAATCACATTCGACCCCTCGCCTCTCCCCAATCCACTCCCACCCGATCTATCGCACGTCCCTATCCCGATCCCACCTGATCTCTCACACGATGGCTGCTCCCACTCATTCAATAGGCACAGTCAACCTGAACACCGCAGAAAAAGTTGTTAGTGTGATCGATAATGAGGCACTTAAATTTCTGATAGACAAGACAAAAGTTCACGGAATACAGACAACAGAGACTCAAAAAGTTGAAGGCAAAGAAGAAGAAGTCATTATCTGGAAGTACCCCGAAGAAAAGGTCGCAGAATTGGACGATCTGCACGAGAAGCACGGCGTTGTTTTCAACTTCGCCCGCAATGGTGCAGATCTTCAACCAGCAGAGAAGAGGAAGTGGGTCATAGAAACAATCAGAAAAGAGCTGAAAATAAAGCAGTCAGGAGAAAAATCTGGGTAGAAACAACATAATGGCCTTATTCATCCAAGAGGATCACGCGAAGGCTGCGGCCAATATGCAATCCAGAAACTGCAATGGATCTGTATGCACAATCAACAAATGGAAGAAACTGCCTGCCCAGCGACAGAACCCGGGATTTGCAGTGTCCTATAAACAGACTCTGCTAAAGGAAAACTTTTGGGTGCAGTTTGACAACATCCAACCGGGATTCCACGGACTGTTAGTGGATAGGCTGGAAAGGCAATACACAGCGAACATGATCCTTAAATGGATCCTGCCAACACCCGATTTCTTGGCCCCGCATTGCGGGACTATGACAGCTGGATTGGAAGTCAAAACTGACAACCCCCCAGTATTCCCTCATACATAGAAACTGCAAATTGAAAACAGAATCGTGGAGATCAAGGTGTCAACCAAGACCTCCCTGATCTGTTTCCGATGCAGGGAACGGGGACACATGGGTTCAGACCCCAACTGCCCAAAATTCCCGAAGCAGCCAAAAGAGCGCAAACTTCTCCCAAATATGTTGGTCGAAGTGGAGGATGCCCCGGGAATATGGTTCATCGCTGACAATGCCTATGACGGTTGGGTCTTTGACGACAACCTTGACAAACCAGACTGGGTGTGGCACTACGCAGATTTCGGACCATTGGTTAAAAAGCCGAATATTTTCCCCCCTGCAGACAACAGATGGCAAAAAAAAGCAACGGGGAAAGTGACAGGCAATCCTGCAAAGATCACCACTGACCCCTTAATAGACTCTCGGGTGATCAGGGAAGAGAAGGACTAGGAAGATCTGCTATGCGATTTGGATGCCGTCAGAGAACAGGCAGTTTCAGAATTCAACAAGTAAGCAACTAACTTTCGGAGCATG